ATGTGTTGGAAGTAAATAACATACAACTCAACAATAGTGTAATTAAACAATTATGGAAAATAGTACAAATAGATTATGATAAAATATTAATTGGGTGCACTTGTTGACCACCAAGTAGCAGCTTCGATATTAATACTTCATCATGTAAATCACTTTTAACTGCAGAGCTATCGTTATTGGTTATAGGTTGTTTAATATGTTAGTTTTTGGTGATTTTAATTATAGCCACCTTAGATGATTTGGGCATTGGTGGAGGAATGGAAACAATAGCCAACATCAAAGAGGCATCGATAGGTAATCCAGATAAAATAATCTTTCCAACGTTTTGAAATTCTCTTGAGGAAGAGCCAAAAACAAACACCAAGGCTCTAGAATTTTGAAGAGCCAGAAAAGATTGCAGTGCTGTTGGCATTTTCCATGCCAACAACACTGCAACCAATAATAAGTCATTTACAGCAATTTTTGTTAATGTAAAATATTTATTTGTTTTCCCTAAGACATGTCACAGAGAGATTAATGGGAGTAAGTGGTAAAATTTGTAAGGGTGTTAAGGTAATTTATAATGCATAAACTATATAAAGATTATGCGATTTTGTAATGGAACTTAAGAATTGTATTAAAAACTTTACTAAAGTATAAAAATATTGTAAATTCTACAGAAATAAATAAAATAAGAAAAAGAATATATACTAAAAAAGTCAAACATTTAAAATTCATGCTTGCCAAACAATACCAAATAATTAACAAAACAACTAATAACCTTTGAAGCCATTATCACATTGACAAACTTTTAACTTTTCTTTTGTTAATACACAAACACCATTTTTACATCCACAAGTATCCATTAATGAGGTGTTTCCTTACCAAAAAAAAATTTTAAATTCGTTAAGTCAAAAAAATATATAAAAAATATTATTTTTACTATTTACCTTGTTATCATCTTGTTATAATTCTTAGAACCAAATTAACATACTTTCAGTGCAAAAAGGTCCTTCCCATTGACCAAAACAATCACATTTGTATGATTTATGATAGTCAATACAACTGATTGTGTGGTTCGCCATACATTCATTAGAAATACAATCATCAACACCTATATAATGCAAATCATTTATTTTTTAGAATGGTATGCATAAATATACTTAAGTGTATATGTTATGTTGGGTCTCAAATGAAGCGAAATTATAAAATAACTATTAAAAATATGAATCATATTATAATTAAATTATTATTTTAAATTTTAGTGAATAGACAAAGACGTTTTTTAACTGAAAACAAAAAATAGGTAGTTCAACAAGATTTTTAGACCATATTCTTTTTGATGAATGTTTTTTTAGAAAATGATGATTATTTTGAAACTTTTTACATAATTTCGCTTCATTTCACACAATAAAATTTTAAAAACCTTTTTTTTATAATTAAATAAAAAACCAAAAGATTAATTATTTATTATTCATATAAACTCATATCATCCACCCCGAATTCTATAACTAATCCCGATTTCAATTAATAACAGGCTAAACTAAAACTCCTCTAATAAAAATGTATTAAATTTGAAAATATTCATTGTATTCAAAAATGTATTCAAAATGAAAATGTATTCAATTTACTTTAAACAAATATTTAAAGATGCCTTTAAAAAAAGTGGTTTTGAAAACTTTGAACTAAAATTTGACCCTGTAATAAAGAATTTAAAAAAGAGAAATAGAACTAGAAATGTAATTTGGTTTAACTCCCCATATAGCAAAAATGTCTCCACTAACATAGGAAAAGTGTTTTTAAAATTGGTCAATAAGTATTTCTTGCTCTCTAATAAATTACATAAAAAGTTTCAATTGAAATACAATTAAAATTAGGTACAGTTGCGCAAAAAATATGGAAAGAATTATAAAAGATCACAATAATGCTTTGTTAAACAAAAAGGAAATCCTAAATGAAAAAAATACAGATAAAAATGTGGTATATAAATGTGTTGTTTCCTCTAAGAACAAGGCAAAAGACATTTTTGTAAATACTCTTTAACATGCATTTTACCAGAAAGTATGGAATCAGAAATGTAGGATGCTGATTTTCAGCCATACCTGCAAATAGCTTGCCAAATCAAAGCATTTTTAGCAAACTTATCATGTTTCGTGTATTTAAGTATCTTATCTGCTTTTCCTCTATATTTGTGCATTATAATAGATAGCAAAAGGAATTTGCTGATGATCATACTTCATATAAGTTTTATCATCTTCAATAATTTAGAAACTTTTAGAAATATACTTATCATAAAACTTTCTTCAGCAAGTTCTTGCACTTTTATTTTAGATTTCAGAATGGTTAGGTACTTTTGTGATTTGAAAGCTTAAAAAACGTTTCAAACTTTTATAACCAAACATTGAGAAAATTCTTATCTTTTTGCGCATTCCCTTAGTGAGAGGTTTAGACTATTTATAAAACTGTTGACTAGTTTTCTAACCAGTTTTATACCTGAAAAACCTCTTTTCCACCATTACCAGATTTGCATTTAATTAATTTTTTTTTTTGAAAAATGTTAAATAATGACTAACAATGTAGGGATTTATTTTTAACTCTTCTGCTATTGAATTGTAGCTTCTATTCAAGTTTTCCAAATATTTGTGCAAAATATTTTTTCTAACATCTTCTTTTGTCATTTTTAAAACTTATTTTGAGTTAAGTGGGAAATATAAAACACATTTTTGAAATTTTTATATGTTGCTAACAAAATACTAATACAATTAAAAATATATTAATACAACCACTGAAAAAATGATGGGTTTACTCTTTCACAATTATTTACATGTACTGGTGATTTGAAACCCAGTACAATCTGCTTCATGTTCTGCTGCCTTGTAGGAACGCCTTTTTAGGCAAAGGCTAGTAGATGCAAACTCCAACATATAACTCCCTTTGCTTTAGGGCTCTTGGTTAAGTAAAGGCTAGAGATGGTGTCTCAATAAAAATACTCATCTTGGACATATATTAAATGCATCTGGCTGCTGTCTTGTAAAAGGCCTCCTAGTCAAAGACTTAAGGGGTAAACAGATTCTATCTGCTAACCAGGACTATGCTGGACCTTCTTGACTCGTTGCATAAGTTTTGCTTGTGTCAATTATTTTTATGACTAGACAACTCATTTTATTATCTCCTAATGAGAGTACAGCTCTAAAGCTCAGTTTAATGGTTCAGGTTTTCCAAACTCTGTGGTAGCTCTCAGAGAGATTGGTTCCATCAACAGCTGAAAAATATCAAAGTACTAACAGTGCCATGTTGCACATTGATGGTGTCCCTGTTTTTAATTTTGGTGCGCATTACCAAGACCACATTGGAGCCCTTTGTTACGGTTTAGGTTTTATTAATAGTAATGACACAATTGCTTGAGCTAATAAACAGTGTACTGAGTACTACCTATGTCTCGAGTTCTTTAACAAATTTAAAAACGAATAAAGTAAGAAAAACTATAAAAAGCAAAAAACCACTGTCATCACCAAGTTTGCTAAACCTATCATTCACTAATATTCGTGTTCTTCGAAGTAACTTTTCTTCAGTTGAGCCTTGAATCTTTTGCTAAGTTCACCAGACCTACTTGCTCTTTGTGAGACTAATTTGAGTTCAGCTGTCTCATCTTGTGATCTTAGTGTTGATGGTTATCTTCCTTTAATTCGTAAAGACTCCAATAGTCATATGCTTGGCCTGGGCATTTAGATTCGTAAGAATTAACCCATTTGTTGAGTAACTAAGTTTGAATCCACAGACTACACTTTTATGTGCTTTTGTTTAGCACCACTTCACTCTATCACCTTTCCCTTTGTTCTATATTGCTCTCCTTCATCTCAAGACTGCACTCTTCTTGATTTTATTTCTGATCATATTGACCAAGCCCTCGCTCTTTATCCATCAGCCAATATTGTTGTTGTGGGTGACTATAACGCTCATCACACTGAATGGCTCGGCTCTAGTGTCAGTGACTTTTTGCCTTTCTAAATCCCTAACTCAAATAGTCATTTTTCTAACTCGATTTTACAGACAGCTTTAATCATTTATCTTCTCTACTCGATGTCTTGTTTTTGATCCTAGTCAGTGCTCAGTTTCTCCACATTTACCCTTAGATGCCTCTGATCACAGTTTGATCTCTCTAAAACTATTATCTCATTCTTCTTTATCATCAGAATCCCCCGATCATAGTACATCTTACAACTACCTTAATGTTGACATAGAGTCTTTTCGTAATTTTCTTCGTCATTGCCCTTGGGTAGAAATCTTTTGTCTTCCTGTTGACAAATATGCATCTTACATAACTTTGTAAATTCAGGACGGCATGGAATCTTTTATTCCCTCTCGATGATTACAGGTCAAAATTCACTCTTCTCCATAGTTTTCCTCACATTGTGCTGCTGCAATTGCCAATCGAAACCATTATTTCCATATCTATCAGCAAATTCCAGAAAAAAATTCTCCAGAAAACAGAGGTCTGTTTATTACTGCTAAAAACCATTGTAAAAAAGTTTTGTCTAAAGGCAAAGCCCTCTATTCTCGGGTCATGAAATCTTGCATTTCATCATGAAAAGTAGGCTCTCGTGACTTCTGGAGAATCTTTAATAGTATCAATAATAAAGGCAAGTCTGTAATTCCACCTCTTTCGTATGGTGCAGATTTTATCAACTCACCTTAAGACAAAGCTGAATTGCTTGCTAAGAATTTTTCATCAATATTATCTCTTGATTCCACGAGTTGCCTTCTACCTGATATAGCCATCAAACAGGTTGATCCATTGTTTGACATTCGTATCATTCCAGCTTATGTATCTAAAGTGATTTCCTCTTTGGACTCTTCTACAGTTTGTGGACCGGACAACATACCTGTTACAGTCTTACAGAAGTGTTCTCTAGAGCTGTTGTCTATCCTTTAAAAACTATTCAACAAGTACTTATCAGAGACATGCTTTCCTTCCTGCTGGAAAGCAGTATCTGTTATCCCTATTTTTAAAAATTCTGGAGAGCAATCTGATTTGTTAAACTACCGTCCCATTAGTCTTCTTCCTATCATAAGCAAGGTTTTTGAATCTTTAATTAACAAATACTTAATCTCTCATCTTGAATCTAATAACTTGCTTTCTGATCATCAATATGGATTTTGATCTTCTCGTTCTACGGCTAATTTGCTAACAGTAATAACCAATAGGTTTTATCGTGCATTAGATAAAGGAGGAGAGGTAAAGGTCATCACTATTGACATTTCTAAAGGGTTGGACAAAGTTTGGCATGCTGGTCTTCTCCAAAAACTTTCTTCTTACGGTGTATCTCGTAACATCTTTAAGATTATTGAATCCTTCCTTTCGAATCGTATATAAAAGTTGTCCTTGATGGATAGCACTCTTTTTCTTATTCTGTAACCTCAGGGGTTCCTCAAGGTTTATTCCTTGGCCCTATACTCTTTTTAATTTACATTAACAATCTTCCAGATATTCTCACATTTAAGGTGGCATTGTTCACTGATGATACTACCATTTATTCTTGTCATGTTAAGAAGTCAACTCTCTCTGATTTTTTTTTTTAATTTTTATTTTAATTCACCTCCTCAAGGCCGAGAAGGCCACTACAGACAAGGAGGCTACTTATTTGTGGTTATAACCCTCTCTCAACTCTATAACTCCGAAACACGAACCTTGACGAGCAAGGCCGCTGCGCGGAGAAACGAGTTGAGCGCGGTACTACCAGGGACATGGTGGGGGACGTGGACGTGGTGGGATTGTTTAGAGGGGGCATTTGAGCTTGAAAAGAATCTCTTTTCTGCTACTGCATGGGGCTCACAGTAACTGGTGAACTTTAATTCAGATAAAACTTAATTTTTTTCAATCAATCATTATTGCAATAATTTAGACCTTCCTATATTTATGAATGATAATGTACTCGATAAGTCATCTAACCTTCATCTTCTGGGATTGACTCTTACTTCCAATCTTTATTGGAAACCATATATTAAATCTTTTGCAAAATTAGCCTCTGCTAAAGTCTCTTTATTGAGCTCAACATTTTCTTACTCTGGATTTTATTCTCTATCTCGATAAAGCTCAAATCCGACCTTGTTTGG